CTCTTCAATTTTTTGGAAGAGTTTGAGGAGAATAGGTATTAAATCTTCTTGGAATGTTTGGTAGAATTCACTGGTGAAGCCATCTGGTCCTGGACTTTTACTTTTTGGTAGGTTTTTGATGATTGTTTCATTTTCTATACTGATGATCAGTCTATTTAGATTTTCCAGATCTTCTTGATTCAGTCTAGAACGATTTTATTTTCCTAAGTACTGATCCATTTCTTCTAGGTTATTAAATTTGGTATTATATCCTTTTTCATAGTATTCTTGTATGATCCTTTGTATTTCTGTGATGTCAGTCGTAATTTCTCCTCTTTCATCCCTGATTTTGTTTATTTGTGTCCTTTCTCTTTTTTCTTTAGTGAGTCTAGCCATGGGTTTTGTCAATTTTATTAACCTTCTCAAAGAACCAGCTCCTTGTTGTATATATTTTTTCTTTTTGTTTCCAGTTTCATTTCTGCTCTAATTTTGACAATTTCTTTCCTTCTGCTGACTTTAGGCTTCATATGCTCTTTCTTTTCTAGATTTTTAAGATGAAGCGTTAGGTTGTTTATTTGGGCTCATTCTTGTTTTTTGGAGATAGGCCTGTAATGATATGAACTTTCCTCTTAGGACCACTTTTGCCATGTTCCGAACGTTTCGATATGTTGTACTATCACAATCATTCGTTTCTGTGTATCTCTTGTTCTCTCTTTTTATTTCTTCGCTGACCCAGTTATTCTTTAGTAGCATGTTGTTTAATCTCCACGTATTTGTGGTTTTTCCTGATTTATTTTTGCAGTTGATCTCTAGTTTCAAAGCATTATGATCAGAGAATATAGTTGGTATGATTTCAACCCTCTTATATTTGTTGAGGCTATTTCTGTGTCCCAGTATGTGGTCGATTCTTGAGAATGTTCCATGTGCACTAGAGAAGAATGTATAAGCAGCTGTTTGGGGATGGATGGCTCTGTGTATGTCAATTATGTCCACTTGGTCTAATGTGTCATTTAAGGATGTTATTTACTTACTGATTTTCTGTTTGGATGATCTGTCCATATTCGACAGTGGGGTATTTAGATCCCCTACTATGATAGTGTTTTGGTCTGTTTCTCTCTTTAGTTCTGTTAATAATTGCTTTACACATTTCAGGGCTCCCTGATTGGGAACATAGATATTAATAAGTGTTATGTCTTCTTGGTGCATGATTCTCTTTATCATTATGAAGTGTCCCTCTGTATCTTTCTTTACTTTTTTTATTTTGAAGTCTGTTTCATCCGATATTAGTACCGCTACTCTCGCTTTTCTCTAAATGCTATTTGCTTGAAATATCATTTTCCACCTTTTCACTTTGAGTCTGTATTTGTCTTTGGAGCCGAGATGTGTCTCCTGGAGGCAGCATATGGTTGGGTTTTGTGTTTTGATCCATTCTGCAACTCTGTGCCTTTTTATTGGTGAGTTCAGTCCGTTTACATTTAGGGTGATTATTGAAATATGAGGTCTTATAGCTATTTTATCTTTTGCTTTCTGGTAGCTCGGTGTTTCCACTGCTTCTTTGTCCTTGTGTTTCTGTTTTCTTTATTTTGGTTGGCTTTTGTGGGTTTTGCCTCTAGTTCTTTTTGTTTTATGTTATATACTTCAGTTCTGAATCTTCGATGTGTGGTTACCATTATGAATATGAAAAGGATAGTTATATATATGTATATACACACACAAACACACACACACAGTTGTTCATTTTCTTCTGCGTGTGTAAGGCAGATGTTTTAAATCCATGTTTGTAAACCATATTGAAGACTAACTTATTCTCTGTTAACCAATGGAAGGAGAGCTGGCTGGTGTGGGCTCAGTCTGGCCCCTGGAGGCAGCCCCAACCTCAGCCTACTCTGCTGCAGGAGCTGCAAATCCAAGAGTGAATGTCTTTGTCCATTCACGCTCCTGTACTCCCATGGACTGGGCGAATCAAACAAAAGACATTACTGCTTACAGTTCTGGAGTCTGGAAGTCTAAGATCAAGGTGCTTGCAGAATGGGTACCTGGTTAGGTTCCTTTTCCTAGTTCATAGGCAACATCTTCTCATGGTGTCCTCACATGGTAGAAGAGGCCAGGGAGCTCTCTGGCATCTCTTTTATAAAGGCACTAATACCATTCATGAGGGCTCCACTCTCATGACCTAATCATCTCCCAAAGGTGCCCCACCTCCAAATACCATCGCATTGGGGGTTAAGATTTAACGTGAACTTTGGGGGAACACACGCATTCAGTCCATAGCCGTGGGAGGTTGGTACGGTTTATAGATGACAGTCCCCCTCTTTGGAGCCAGCGTGGCCCCCAGCAGCTGTAAGATGTGTGCATCTGGACCTGGTACAAGGGAGCTGGGGGCGGGATGCTGTCCTCTTCCCTTCCAGGTCTGTCTGCCTTCCTTCATGCCCTCTCCCCCTTGGGCTTCCCACAAGGTGACGGTGGCTCTCTGTTGTAGGTGGCCAATGTGAATGCTAAGGACGGCACGTGCACACTGAAGGACTGTGTGTATAAAGATGTGCAGAAGGACTGGCCTGGCTACTCAGAGGGAGACCAGCAGCTGCTAAAGCGCATGCTTGTTCGGTAAGGCCGTTTCCCCTGGGCCTGGGCCAGATCTTATCTCCAGGATGCTGGGGTGGCCTCACCTGGTCCCAAGACCTCGGGGCTAAGAGCAGGGTGGTAGGGTCCATGGGGATTCTAGCCATTTTCCCCACAGCCGAGGTACCCTACCTTGGTCTTCAACTTGGGGAAAACCTAGCCCTGCCCCCACCCCCGTAGGGTTGGGGGAATATGTTACTGTTACATACACCAGAGTGCCCCACAGAGGCCTCAGTCCACCCAGACTGTTCCCGCTGCCCCTCCCTACCCGTGAAGCTTCTACCTGTAACTTGCTCTGTCCCCATGGGCCTCTCTTGCTGGAGCTTCCTTCTTAGAACCATTAAAGAACCTGAAGTACAAAAACAAAGCTTTTTGCAGTCCTAAGCAGTGTTAATTAAATGCATTCCTTCTAGGGTTAATTGAGACTAGAGGTCAGAGTGGTTTAGGAGGCTCTGAGAGGAGTGAGTATGGGGCCTGCCTAGGCCAACAACTAATGCTTCTGATACATGCCTGACCTAGGAGCCGGCTGATCGCTAATTAGTCTTCAAGTGATTTCTCAGGGACTTGGAGATCTTTGTGAGGGTTTTTTTTTTTTTTTTAAGTTCAGCTGTTTAAAGCATTAATTACATCTGGAAAGCAGAACTGAGTTGGGACCACTCTGTGTGAATCCCAGGTTCCTCCTCAGCCCTGGGGGACACTAATTCCTGAGCCACCAGGCCTGAGGTCCCTGCTCTGGCTGTCTGAGGTCTCTGGGTGTTGGGTAGCTGGGGGCAGGGGGTGGTGGTGGTGATCTCTGCAGAAGATGCGTCCGACCCGGTATCCCCTCTCTGGGGGTCTTCTGTTGTCCTAGTTAAACATGTCAAGTTGGCACTGTCCCCTTCTGTAGGTGTTTTCATCCATCACACAATTTTGGGCAAAAGGTCCAGTGTTGAAATGGTTGATTTCCCCCACCCAGCTGCTTTGTGGTGGCAAGGGGCACTCAAGAGGCACAGTGAGGCTGTTCCTGTCCATCCATCCTTAGAATCTCTCAGCAGCTTTCTGAGTTCTCAGACCGCAGGGTCTTGGCCTCACTGATTTCCTGGGAAGGGATGTGGCCAAAAGCGAATAGCTTGTGTGTATGTTTGTACACAAGTGTGTGTGCACATGTCTGTGGTAGGAAACAGTGCTCAGAGGTTCACCACCCGGCCCAGTGCATGTCCACATGGACAGTATAGCAGGTGATGTAGGGCGGGAGCTGCGGCCCTCACATTCTGAAAACTCGCTAGTCCTTCTTCCTGTCAGTGGGCAGTGGTGAAAAGGCCTCGCTGCCCTTTCTCATGCTTCCTCTAATTCTAACACAGGGTACTGCACTCCTAGACTCTTCTTTGGCTTCTCCCAGTCTGTGTTTTTCTTGGCCATCATTTCTAGTTCCCAAGAGTCCTTCTTGTTGTCTTTTTGTAGCATCATATTATTGAGATATAGTTCACTTAATACAAGTCACCCATGTGAAGTGTACACTCAATGGTATTCACAGTGTTGCTCAACCATCGTCTCTATCTAATTTCAGAACATTTTTGTCACCTCAAAGGAGACTCTCTCCATCATTATCAGTCACTCCCCCATTGCCTTCCCTTTGGCAACCACTACTCTGCTTTCTGTCTCTATGGATTTGCCTCTTCTAGACATTTATATATAGGATCATACACCATGTGGCCTTTTGTGTTTGGTCTTTCACTCAGTGCAGTGTTTTCAGGGTTCATCCAGATTATAGCGTGTGTTAATGCTTTATTATTTTTTATGGCTAAATAATATTCTGTTGTGTGGATGGACCTCATTTTGTTTATTCATTCATCCCTTGATGGACACCTGGGTTCTTTCCACCTCTTTGCCGTTGTGACTAGTGCTGCCATGAACATTTGTGTCCAAGGATTTGTGTGGATGTGGATTTTCAGTTCTCAAACACATACTGGTTGTTGAGCTATGTGGTAATTGTGTTTAACTTTTTGGAAAACCGCTAAACTCTTCCTTAGTGACTGCACCATTTTACATTCCTGCCAGCAGGGCATAAAGGTTCCAACTTCTCCACATCCTCGCCAACACTTATTTTCTGTGTGTGTGTGTGTGTGTGTGTGTGTGTGTGCGCGCGTGCGCGTGTGCGTGTGCGTGTGTGTGTGTGTGTTGAGTCTAGCCATCCTAGTGGGAGTGAAGTAGTATCTCATTGTGGTTTTGATTTGCATTTCCCTGGTGAATAGCGATGTTGAGTACCTTCTCATGTGCTTATTGGCCAATTTGTATGTCTTCTTTGGAGAGATGTCTATGCTTATTGGCCAATTTGTATGTCTTCTTTGGAGAGATGTCTATATGTCTTCTTTGGAGAGATGGTACTGCCTTTGTCTTTCTGAAGATAGTAAGACTGGTGTTTTTGTTGTTGAGTTAAAGTTTTCATCCTCTTACAGTCTCTCTTCTCTTTTAAATGCATTTTTCTGTCTATTTTGCATCTGACATTTGTTGCCTGGAAGTACCCCGCTCCCCAGGTCTTTCCTCTGGATGGCTCTGCTCCCTCAGGGGGGCCCCTTTGTTTCCTTTTCTCCAGAGACCACATGTCTGTTTCTCCTGTTGTTTGGGTGTGGCCCATGCAACCTCCCAGTGCCTGGAGAAGGCCTGTGCTCCTCTCCTGGACATGCTATGGACTCTGTAGCAGATCAGGACCCAGAGCAGGGCTGCTCGGGGACCCCTCCTCTGAGGTATCTGAGGCTCCAACCCCCAGGTCATGGGGTTCTGTAGCCTGGGACTTGGTTTTCTTGGATTCTATAGGACAGTCACCACCTGTACTTCTGTTTTAGTGTTAAATGTTGTCACTCTCTTGTTCCCTTTCCTCTTCATGCCTTTTTACTGGTGGCTTAAAAAAGAGTAGATGGAAATGCCTGTCCTTGGTTTTCTGTCTTTAACAAGAGCTCTTGTGGCTTCCATGTGGCTGGACAGCAAACCTGTTTCCCCTTGGCCATGGGGACCATGTTGCCCTAGTCACTGCGTGCATGTTTTGGGCACCTTTCCTGTGGCTCTCCTTGCATTTTGGGCAGTGGACAGCAGCAGTGGTTTGGAATGTAGCCATTTGGTCTGGGAGTCAGACTTGCTCATTGCTGGTTGGAGCAGTTCAGACCCGGCCCCTGAGTCCCCAGACCTCAGCCTCTCTGCAGTGCGTGGAGGGCCCTCAGCACCACACACAATCCGGCGTCTTTATCAGGGCCTCTCTTTGCCCATCAAGTGTTGGTGTGTCTTTCTTCTTATCTCTGGCTGCATTGTTTTGCTTAGGTCTAGGCAGGCCAGTGGATGCCTCTGCCGTCCACAAGTAGGTGCTGTGGCCTGGGCTCCCAGGAAGGCGGGTGCTGAATCTGAGAGGCCTTCCTGTCACAGACCAGGTCATCTCAGTTCTAGTCAACATTCTCTAAAGTTTCTGCAATGAGCGTCATTATTAGGATGAACAGTTGAGGGACCAGTGCCTCAGTGAGCCCAGATTTCAAGGGACAGACCTTGAGTGTTTGGTCATTTTACATGGTTCCCTGGTCTCCATGGTAATGGGGGTCTAGGTGGTCAACTTTGACCCTTCTCTGGGCACAGGACACTTTGTGGAGCAGTCCTCTGGGCAGTGAGGCCGAGGCTGCAGGGCAGCTGTGGATGAACCCGAGACGGGATATGCTCCGGCTGCTCTGCCTGCCAGGCTCTAGTGTACCCAGCATGCTCACCCTCTCTGATTCAGCGGGGTGGTGGCCCCTCCCTGAATCACTGGTCAAGGGTGGGACAGCGTGATGTCAATGCAGAGACAGATGAGCCTGGATGCACCCCGAGAAGTGCTGCAGTAAGCCCCCACCTACCCTGCTTCTCCGCAGGAAGCTATGCCAGCCACAGAGCACAGGCGGCCTCCCTGGAGACCCTGCTGCTGCCAGCCCCCCAGATGAGCATGGGAGTTCAGCCTCACCCCCACAGGTAGGAGCAATGGGTGGAGGTGCTGGTGGAGGAGGGCAGGTTTAACCCAGAGCCAAATGGGCCTGACCCAGCCTTGATGCTTAGGTAGCCCATTGGGCCCTTGGCTCAGGGCTGGGATGTTTTCTTCAACCAGTGAGCAGATGCCTGGCTTCCCCTAGGCCTGGGGCCTGGGCCCAGGACCTGGGTTCATCTCCCTTGGACATTTGTGGGTGGTGTGGCTGAGGGAGGGCAGGCACTGGACTGCCCTGAGCTTCATGCTTTCTCTGTACCTGGGTCTGCTGCCTCTTAGGGTTGTAGTGAGGGTTCTGTAAAATCCCGTGTGCTAGCTGCAGGATAAGACGGTGCCCAGTGTGGTCCCGTGAGCGGTGGTCACTGTCATTGAAGTCAGTAGTCAGGGAGGGCACTGGGAGTGGGAGAAACTTACCTGGCTCTGGCTAGGGTGGTCTTTGGCTATGCGCCCCCTCACCATTGCTTGAGCTTTTTGGTAAAAGCTATTCCCACCTACCTGCATGCTCTGACTTGTGAGTCCCACATTCAGGCCCTTTTCCTCCCTCCTCCTTGAGCTCTTCCTTCTCTTCCCTCTTCTTCCTCCTCCTCCTCCCTATTCTTCCCCTCCTCCTCCCTCCTCCTCCTCTTCTCTGTCACCCTCATCTCCCACTTCTTCAACCTGAAGCACCCAGTCCATATTCATGGCCCTGAGGCCTCCTTGTGGGAAGGCTGGGTCCATATACACCCTGGTTATGGGGCCTAATTTTACCCACACTCCACTGTGGCTCCTTGGTCCTAGGCCTGCCATCCACCATCTTTCTTTCTTTATTTGCTTCCCTGGGTCAGGGCCACCTGGTCCAATGCTGGGTCCCCTCCTATGGTCTGGCCTTGCCTCACATGCCTCAGTCTAATCATCTGTGAAATGGGGATAAGACCTGGACCATGTCATAGAGCCTCTGTCTGATCCAAGTAGTCACGGGTCTGGTGTGATGGGTCCCGGTCTGTGGGGCTGCCCAGTGTCCCTCAGACTTGGCTCTGTCACCATCCCCATCATCTGGGGTAGATACTGAGCACAGCAGTATTTAAGACCAGTCCATGAAGATGATTGAGGCGGTCCACTGATGACCTGGCTGCCCTTCCTTCTGCACAGTCCTTGCGGGAGGCACCAAGGGCCTGGTTGGCAGGACTGCAGGAGTCTCCAGTGCCCCCACTGTCCAGAGTGGGCCTTGCAGGTGGGGACTAGATTTCCTCCAGGCCTGGGCTGCCTGCCGGCTCAGCTCAGGTCTGCACGTTGCTTCTGAGCCACTCCCCAGGGGATACCAGCCACTCCAGATACAGTTTCCCCTCTAAAATGGTCTCTTTTCCTTCACAGAAACGGCCTCAGCCTCCTGATTTCATCGACCCCTTGGTCAACAAGAAACCCCGGATATCGCACTTCACCCAGAGAGCTCAGCCCACGGTCAATGGGAAGCTGACTGTGCCCCATGGCCGTGAGGCCCTACTGCCCACCCCAGGCCCACTGGTCGGCATGGACACCCACTTGCCCCCACGGCTGGAGCCCCCAAGGGCACACGACCCTCTGGCTGATGTCAGTAATGACCTGGGCCACAGTGGCCGGGACTGCGAGCACGGGGAAGTGGCCACCTCAGCCCCTGCCCCATGCCTCAGCCTTCCCCTGCTGACAGACTGTTCCCAGACCAGCAGGCCCCATGGCAGCTCGTCTCGGGGCAAGTCCAAGAAGAAGTCCAAGAAGCACAAGGACAAGGAGAGGGCAGCTGGGGACAGGCATCAGTCCCGGGCACCTGACCTTGTGCCTGGTTCCCTTGGAGCCCCACCAATTGCCCCAGGTAGGTGCCAAGAGGCAGGCCTGGGACAGACTCAGCAGGAGGGCGCTGTCAGGAGCTTGAACACCAGCTCCACATCTTGCCAAGGGGGCTGCACTGCCCCACACTTCCCCGTTGTTGGCTCACCCTGCATATTCAGCCTCTCTGCACACTGTTTTCTCACACAGGGTATCTATAAATGCCCCGACAGTCTCGGCGCTGGAGACTCCTACAGTCCTGCGTGCTCCAGGCCAGCGCTGGGGGCTAGAGACACAGGTCTGACCAAGATAAGACCTGCGGAGGGGCAATGCATGTGGAGAGGAACAAGTTCCAGGCACAGAGACTGAGAGGGGCAAGGTGGAGCCAGGGCCTTTTGGACTCAGGGGAGGCTGTGGGGATGGCCTGGCAGGAGAGGGGCAGCACCGGTACTGCTATGGGCCTCTTGTGGCCTGAGAAGCCTGTGGGAAAAGTGTGGTAAGCGCTGAAACAAGGTCATGCAGCAGGCGGGGGAGCTGAAAGTTGAGGGATCTTGGGTCTCAGCAGCAGAATGTGGGGTGCAAGGCCAACCAGGGCTGGATACCAAGCAGGAGGACCTCTCTGGGGCCCAGGGATCCTGGAGGGGCATGTGAATAGGCTGGGCTGGTGGCGGGGCTGGGGTAGTTACCTCCGGAGCCTGGGCCATCCTGAGTTCACAGCCCCAGGCACCTGAGCTGAGCACCCTATATGGCTGTGAACTTAATTTGATCAGCATATAGCAACAAAATCATGGCCCCACTTAGTCACATGCAAACCCAGGCTTGTCACCTGCCACTACTCCGATCATTTCCCCAGGCAGGGTCCTGGAGAA